ATTAGACTTAGTATTTTAAAAAGTATAACTTAATATTGGGTCAAATATGGACATATTTCCTCTTAGTTCTTTTTATAGCAGCGTTTTATTCTGATTGTCAGTCAGCTCTGATACCTTGCTTATCATTCTCCGCACTCTAAAACGAGTGTGGATGTCATCGATTTGATGTTTTTTATTCAGTTATATTTCAATTTGACTTTTTTATTTAAAGTTTAATGTTTTAAAGGAGTGAAACGCTCCTCGAAAGCGTAAAACTTAGAAAAAAAGACATTTAATTATTGTACATTTCCTTAGTTTTCATCATGGCCTCACTTTCTTCACACTGTCAGACTATCAGTCATTATTTTCATCTTATTATGTTTAAATTAGACTTTTTTTTAAGTAATTAAAATTTTTTTACCCAATGTTGAGTCAAATACGGATAAATCCAACGGTTTCCTCTTAGTTCTTCATAGCAGCGCTTTGTTTTGATTATCAGTCGTCTCTGAGACCTTTGTTTTTCATTCTCTGCACTCTATAATTTGTGTAAATGTCATCATTCTAATGTATTTTTTAATAAAAAAAAAAGATTTAGATTTGTCTTTTTAATTAAAGTTTAGTGTTTTAAGTGACTCAAACACTCATTTAAAGTGTAAAACTGCAAAAAAAAGATCATTTAATTATTTTACATTTCCTTATATTTCATCACAGCCTCACGTTCTTCACACTGTCAGATCATCAGTCGTCTCTGAGACCTTTGCTTTTCATTCTCTGCACTCTAAAACGTGTGCGTGTCATCATTTAGTTGCTGTTTTTAGTAAATTAGATGTAAATGTACTGTTTTAAATGACTCAAATGCTTCTTGAAAGTGTAAAACTGCAGAAAAAAAACATGTAATTATTTTACATTCGCTTATATTTCTTCACAGCATCACTTTCTTCACAGTCTCCTCTGAGACCTTTCCTTTCGCTGCACTCTAAACATGTGCTGTTTTTGTATGCTCAGATTTAATTTAGACTTCCTATACAGAGTGGAAATGAAAGTGTAGATCAAACATGCATAAATCCAGCTGTTTCTGTATATTTCTTCATAGCATCACACTCTTAACAGTGGATGTGTCCATATATACATCATTGCATGAAAACGATACAGTATCTGTATTTATTTAAGTGTGTTTCACTTAATAATCTCTCTCTGAACGTTATTTTATCTAAGCGATCAGCCCTCAGTCCCTTTGTGTACATCACACACATGATGGTGCAGGTTTATACGACATTTCTCTATAATATGGCCACTAAATGGATCATTTGCGCATTTTAAGGTATTAAAGAGACAGTACACCATTGACTTTCTCTCCTGTTGAGCACAAAAGAAGATATTTTGAAAAATGTTGCAAGCCATTGACTTCCATATTCATTCATTTTCCTGCTGTGGATGTCAATGGATGCATCTTTCCAACATTCTTCGAAATATCTCCTTATATGTGTGTGTGTGTTTTAGTGAAAACAACTTGTTTTCTGAGTGAACTGCCCCTTGAATTGAGCTTATCTCAAAAAACAAGCGGTTCTAGCGCAGTGAAAGTGACTGCAAATGAAACTACTCTTGGAGTGTGTTTCAGGTCTGCTAGTGTGTGTGTGTGTGTGTACATGTGTATGTGTGTGCGTGTATGACTAAGCAGTGGACAGTCTGAATTTCTTTATCTTAGAAAGAGAGTGGATTGATTCAGTTTCACACCAGCACTGTACTGTTTCCTCTCTTTCTCACTCCTCAGAATGTGTGTGTATGTGTGTGTGTGTTTATTTTGTACGTACATGTTTGTGTGTTCATTTTGTGTGTGTGTGTGTGTGTGTGTGTGTGTATGTGTGTGTTTGCATTTTTATGTGTGTATGTTTGCGTGTGTGTTCATTTTATGTGTGTGTGTTTTTTTATGTGTGTATGTTTGTGTTCATTTTGTGTGTGCATGTACATTTTGTATATGTGTGTGTGTGTGTGTGTGTGTGTGTGTGTTTATTTTGTATGTGTATGTTTGTGTGTTCATTTTGTGTGTGTGTGTTCCTTTTTATGTGTGTATGTTTGCATGTGTGTTCAAAATGTGTGTATGTGTGTGTGTTCATTTTTCTATGTGTGTGTGTATATATGTGTTTATGTGTGTTAATGTGTGTTCATTGTGTGTGTGTGTGTGTGTGTGTGTGTGTGTGTGTGTGTGTGTGTGTGTGTGTGTGTGTGTGTGTGTGTGTGTGTGTGTGTGTGTGTTAATTTTTGTATGT